TTAGAGAAATGCAAATCTAAACTATAATAAGATAGCTCTTCACACCAACTAAGATAAAAAAAATTTAAATGAGCAATAATTACAAGTGTTGAGGAAAATGTAGAGAAACTGGAACCTTTTTATACTGTAAGTAGAAATGTAAAATGGTATAGCCACTATAGAAAATAGGTTGGCAGTTGCTCAAAAAGTTCAACATAGAGTCGCCATATGGCCCAGCAATTCCATTCCTAGGTATACATTCAAGAGAACTGAAAATACATTCAAACAAAATTTTATACATGTATGTTCATAGCAATATTATTCATAATTACTAAAAGTTGAGCCAGGTGTGGTGGCATATCCCTATAATCCCAGCACTTGGGAGGCTGAGGCAGGAGGATCACTTTGAGTTTGAGGCCAGCCTGGGCTACAGTCAGTTCAAGGCCAGCCTGAACTATACAGCAAAACCCTGCCTCAAACAAACAAGCAAACAAACAAAAAAGGTGAAAACAATGAATAAAATGATAGATGAACAAAATGTGAGATTTCTTTACAAAAGAATACTACTGAGTAAAAACGGGGATTGAAATACTGACATATGATACAATGTGGATGAACCTTGAAAACATGCTTAATGACAGATGCCACACACAAAAGGCCACATATTATATAATTCCATTTATATTAAATGTCCAGAATTTGCAAATCTGCAGATAAGCAAGGAGGTTAGCAGTTGCCAGGAGATGGAAAGGGAGAAGAAAAGAGTGACTTCTATCATGTATAGCATTATTGGGAGAGGGTAATAAAAATGTTCTGGAATTATATAGTGATGATTGTATAACCTTGTGAATATACTAAAGCCCACCAAATTACACATTTTAAAATAGTGAATTTTATAGCATGTGAACTGTATCTCAAAAAAATGGGTACAGGGGGACACCTGTAATCCCACCACTGAGGGAGTATGAGGCAGGAAGATTACATGTGCAGGTCCTGCCTGGGTAACTAAACCAGACCCTGTCTTAAAATTGAGAAAGAAAAAAAAACAAAAAGGAAGAAAGAAAGAAAGGGAGAGTGCTTGAGGAATGGGAATGGGATTTAGTGGTAGAATGCCCCTGGGTTTGATCCCCAGTGCCAACTTTAAAAAAAAGTTTGAGAGACATCCTACAAAATAACTGGCCAGTCCTGTTCAAGAATTTAGTCTAGGGCCAGGGATTTAGCTCAGTGGTGCCACGACAGCTTTGGAAGCACAAGGTCCTGAGTTCAATCCCCGGTCCTGGAGGAAGAAAAAAAAATCTACAGATTAGTCAGGCATGGTGGCGCACACATGTAATCCTGGCACTTGGGAGGCTGAGGTAAGGAGGATTGCTGTGAGTCCAAGGCCAGTCTAGGGTACATAGTGAGTTCAAGGCCAGCCTAAACGACACTGTGAGATCCTGTCTCCAAAAATAAAAAGAAAACAGAACAAAAAGTTATAGTCATAAGCCAGGTACAGTGGTGAATGCCTGAAATCCCAGCACTCGGGAGGCTGAAGAAGGATCCCAAGTCCTACCTGAGCAACTTAGACACTGACTCAAAATCAAAAATAAAAAGGGCTGGGGACACAGCTCAATGGAAGGACCCTGGGTTCACAGCTCAATACTGGGAAAAAAAAAAGTTTACAGTCATACAAGACAAACAAGAGTGAGGAACTGTCCCAGATTGGAAGAGACTAGCTAAAGAGACATGACATCTGATTTGAGATTCTGGAACAGACAGAGAATTAGGACAAATGGCAGATTTTGAATAAAGTTTACAGCTTAGTTATCAGTATCTTATCAATATTAAATTTACTTAGATAATTTTAATATAGTTAAATGTTAACATGAGAAATCAGGTGAACGGTGTACCAGAAGTGAGTGGAATATTTTTAAAGTTTTTTATTTTTATCTTTTCCCAGTACTGGGGATCCAACTCAGTACCTTACGATTGCCAACCAGGCAAAGTGCCACTGAGCTACATCCCCAGCCCTAAAGTTTTTTAAAGTCTAAAATTGTTTTGAAATAAAATATTAAAAAGTAATGTACATTACACAGGTCATTAACTAGCAAATTTTTTTCTGTAAAAGTCATTTCTGACTCTGTGGACCGTATGCTCTTTTGTAATTACTCAACTCCACTACTGTAGCACTAAAGCAGTCAAAGGTAATAAGGTAAATAAATGGGTAGGGCTGAAATAAACACTGACATTCAATTTTCCTATAAATGCCATGTATTATGAAATATGCTTTTGATTTATTCCCCACTTAAAAATGTGGGCTGGGTGTGGTGGCACAAGCCTGTTATTCTAGCATTTGGGAGGCTGAGGCAGGAGAACTGCTTTGAGTTCAAAGCCAGCCTGGGCTACATAGTGAATTCAAGGTCAGCCTGAACCGCATACCAAGACCCTGTCTCAAGAAACAAAAAAACAAAATAACAACAACAAAAAAAGTGAAACAAGCAGTTGGGCTAGAATTGGCCCATAACCTCTGACTCTAGGTCAGAATTTTCCAATGTATGCTTCAATTTAAAAAAAGAGGAGGGGGTTTCACATCAAATAAATCTGTCACTAGATTAAACAAGTGAAACAAAGAATTACCCTAGCTTTGAAGCCTATTTATTTATTGTAGGATCTTTCAGTGCCTTCTTGTGGTACTAAATACAGACACTCTAAGAAGGAATAATGATAGTATGCAGTTTTCCCCAAACTGACCATTGAATCCTGCCTCTCAGAGGCATCTCTTCAAACCAGTGCTCTGAAGAATACACTTATTAAAGCACCAATTCAGATATTTTTATAAAAGGAAACTCCTAGATTGGGAAGTTTTTAAAACTTCCACAAATAAAAAGCATTTTATCTAATACCTATACATGTAACATCTCAGTAAGCATTTCACATTTTTTTAAATCTTAACAAACACAGGGCCAGGGGTTTAGCTCAGTGGTGCCACGCCTCCCTCCCAAGTTCAAGGTCGAGTTTAATCCTTGGTACCAGAAACAACAACAACAACAACAAAACAAGAAACACAAACAGACCAGGTGTGGTGGTGATCCAGGCGTGGTGCTGTGATCACAGCACCTGGGAGGCTGAGGCAGGAGGACTGCCTCGAATTACATAGTGAGACCCTGTTTCAAAAAAAAGAAAAAGGGCTGGGGATTTAGCTCAGTGGTTTCGCCACCTGCTCTGCAAGCACAAGGACCTGAGTTCAACCCCCGGTACTAAAAAAAAAAGAAGAAAGACAGACAAATAGAAAACCACAAGCATGAAATTTTAGCTTAATCCTAACCATTTTTTTTAAGGGGTGGGATGGTCAGCAGAATTGGGTCATAATATGGAATCTCTGCTCCATAAGACAATATAAAACAATCTTGAGCAATCTAACAGGTGGCAGAAAAGTAATCTAGTGCTTGTATATCACAAAATAAGGAAATCTGATTAGAAATTTGAATAGAAAACTAAAGCTATGCTAGAAGTCTCATCTATAGATTACATCTAAGTGTGGATAAACTGACAAGTCAAGTCCATAAGAAGACTGGTTTTACACGCTGAATGGAAAGCTAGCCTACAGACTGCAAAAATTCTCTCAACATCTACACACAGTGCTGGAAAAAGAAAGGTGTAAGTATTTATGTCCCAGGAAGAAGGCTGGCATGACCAGCTTCAAGGGGCCCTCCACTGTGTGTTCCAAAGAGTTTACTGGCTTCTCCTGTCACACAAAGTCTTCAGAGGCATTTGCAAGTTGTTCTTAGAAAATAAACTAACTGATGGCATGGCTCCCTGTTTAATAATTCACACAACAAACATTTCAGGCACCTCTTATCAGATGTGGAGTCATTCCAAAGTCCTTGAAAAGACAGGTGGTGCATAGGAGAACCAGGAAGAGATTACATAAACTCAAGTGTGTTGGACTTACATACGGGAGATATATGTTGGAGGATAGAGAAGACATGAAAAGAAAAACATTTACTCTGCTAGTAGAGTCAGTACTAGAAAGATTAACATAACCTAGAATCAGAGACTTTCAAGTTGGAAAGGACTGTCATTTAACACCTGAATAACTTCTTCCACAACCAGGCAATATATCCCATCACTGGTCATCTTTGATGATTCTTCCATTAAATTCTTCTTATATTAAGTAAAAACCTTGCGTTCCTGTAGAATCCACCTATTAGCCCTACTTCTGCCTGTCAGCCCCAAAGATGATGTAGAAGTTCTCTCTTCTTTTCTGTAAGTTTTTTTTTTAAAGACAGTTATTTTCTTTTCAGTGTTCTTTTCTAGGCTAAACATCCCAGTTCTTCCAAAGTTCCAGAAATGGCTCCAGCTGCCTCAAAAAGAAAGGAGAGCACCTAAGACCAAAGGGGCTTCAAAATCAGTGTATATATAGGACTCCAGAAGCGGACGTTCAAAAGACGTTTCCTAGGTTCGAAACTCAGATTCTAAACCAGTTGTTTGATTCGAGTGCAACACTGTAGAGCCGACATCTCAGAGGATTTCAAAGCAGATGGTATGAGAACCGTATTTTGAGAAACACTTCTCCGTTTTACAAAAGAGAAAACTAGGCTCAGCACAGGAAAGATTTGGCCTACAGCTCTTATCTGGCTGTTGGCGGCGAGGTCTCAACCCCTTATCGCTTTCTTACTCTCGTCCCCAATCTGTTCACCTCGCTCTGTCTCTCCACTCAGGGTAAGTTCATTAAATATACTCCCACATGAGAGGCGGTCTCGTACCGGGAAAGAAAGGGAGTCATGGTGAGCCCTTGTCTGAAAAGGAAGCCCTTCTCTTTCTCAAGGCTGTTTCCCCGTTCTGTACTCATGGAAGGAAAGTCCACACCACCCTGACCTTTCTTCTAGGGCCGAAAGCACCAGTCACGGTCATACTAACTTCTGGGCTGTTGGGCTCAGGTGTGGAAGCACTTGAGCCCGCGAAAGGCGGAACCCGTCTCCCGTTCCAGCCCCCGCCCCTAGCCTATGTGGCCCCTGCCATCACCCCAGCCTGTCACGTACCTTCCTCCGCTCTGGGAACGCCGCTGAGGCCGCTTCAGCCTACCAGTTTCTCGGTCTACCAGCCAGTCCCATCGCCTCGTTAGTATTTTGGACTTGGCCTCTGACCCCTCCTACGCGGACTCTGGTCACGCGGAGCCACCCCTCTCCAAGAGACTTCCGGCCACAACCGGAAAAGGTTGGTCTGCGGCTCAGCCGGCCCAGTTCTGGGGTCTAAGGTTCCACCTACAGGCAGGAAGTGGAGGAACACCGAGTCCATTGGTAGCTTTTTGAAGAGCCTGGGGGTCTACTCTCCTTTCCAGAATTAATTTTTTTTTTTTTGGTACCGGGGATCGAACTCGGGACCTTGCGTTTGCGAGGCAGGCGCCGGAACCACTGAGCTAAATCCCCGGCAAGGTCTACTCTCCTTTAAGAAAAGGGTGATTCTGGAAATACATTAGATAAGCTTAGAACGTCTAGTTTCATCAGAGTGTAAGGATGATAGTAATAAGAACAATGGGAACGTGTAAAGGGAAACAGGAGCTACCTTGAAGAGCTCACTAGCCAAATCTGGCAACTTCAGCATAAAAATTCATGATCTTAATAGTGTACAACCAATTGAATAAAATATTAATCCATAAGTTTTTACTAACATAAATGAGACAGTGAATAAATAATGGAAAGAAGAGAAACTCTTTTAGTAAAATGCCAACTAATGAACATGATGGAGTTAGAAAATCATAAATGATAAAACTAGAGAAATAGGATGTTTACACAGAATGTCTCCTACATATTACTTATTGATTACAAAGGGAAACTACTAATGTTACAGAGGTGTAACCTAGCAGAACAAATGAATCAAAGTGATCAAAGGTAACATGGACAAAGTCATAACATAGAGACCACTATAGGGACAGAGGACAAACTCCTGGGACCTTAAAACCATGATTTGTGTCTTCTGACATCGACAGAGACTTAAACGTGCCTTTTGCTAAACACAGTGGCTTTGCACTTGGGCCCACAAATGCCCAATAGGTAACTAAAAGTAGAACAAAACTTGATTTTCATTTTGTAAAACCCTGAGTCAAATCCTTTTCATCTCTCTGTATATAGGCATATTAGTCAGTTAGGGAGTGTCTATCTAAGTTGGAAAAACAAGGTTTATTACCCCAAGTTTACCAAGCCTATCTCCTTACCCTTTCGGACTGACAACACTGGGATAGGAGAGTTACATTCAACTACTCCCAGAATCTCCACTGCCCTAAAACTATGGCTGTCTTGAATTCCAGCAGAGCCTCCCACAAGACTGAAATTACTCCTCAAGTCATGAGGATTCCTCTGGAACAATGCAATCAGGACTGAGATAATGATCAACTGGACCCCAGTCCTTTGGTCCCCAGTCCTTTGTTGTGGGCCAATCTGATCCTCTTCATTGGAGTGTGTGTCCTCCAGCTATTACTCAAACTGGAGTCCTTTCCTTATCGTCTCTTACCTTCCAATTAAAGCTTTGCCTGTAAAGTCAATTGTTGCAGTAGTTTTAATTTCCGTTATCTCTAAGGCAAGGACCCATGCTAGTTGGTGACATCACCACCAATAACGGGTGAAGTAAAGGTCATGTGCCTCCTAGTAAGATGCACAGAGAGGGATGCAGCATCTTTTCTGTGGTTTTTCTGTTAAAAGTGCATTACCTTGGGGCTGAGAGTGAGTCCTAGAGCACTTGCCTAGCCTTCATGAGGCCCTAGGCTCCATTTTCCATATAGAAAATAAAAGTGCAAAGCCCAAATCTCAATCTCATGGGGGAAGCATTAGATAAACTCGTATTGAAGGATCCTCTATAAAGTAACTATTAGGTCATGAAAAGCTGAGAAACTGTTTGAGCATGAAGGAGACTGAAAATACATGGCTGTAGAGAACAGGGGAAGGGGACTTTACCAGAACCTCTGCAGTAAGTCCTAGTCTCCTGCGAGCCACGGCAGCACACGGCAAATTACAGGAAAGGTAGACAAATGAGACTGAGAAGAAGGTGAGCTTTGGGTCTGATCAGTGCTGCTCTGGGCAGCAAAGACAAAAGCCCTCTAGCTTGCAGCAGTTTTTATTTAGTACATGGGGAAACATGTAACAAGTGAAAAATGTAGAGTTCAGTACTTTATATTGGGATAAACAAGGTGTAAAAAGACTAGGGGGCAGTGGAAATCTAAGAACAATGAGGAGCTATGCAGATGAAGATTTGGTTCCTCTCTGTCGTCTCCCGCAGGTGTGGTCTTGTCCTGGAGCATTACAGTACCTGGGGATCACTGAGGTCTCGGTTGTGACCGGAGGCCAAAATGCAATTATGTCTGGATGTCGTAGCTGGCCTGTAAGCCGGAGAACTAGGCCTACTCAAATGATTTTTCCTTAGAATTATGTAGCATTGCTCCCAACACATGGCAAAAATGTGGTGTGTGATTCTAAATTGTATCCTGAACTGAGATGATGTAGCAAAATAGCTGTAAAGGACAATATTGGGACAAGTAACAAAATTTGTATATGGATTGTGTACTATTAATATGTATTGTATCAAATCACATACTAATTGGTGATAGAGCTGCAATTTTCTCCCAGGCAGTTGTCCTTAACAATTATCTTCATTCTTTCATTCATTCAACAAACATTTAAGGGCCTACAATTTTACAAGGGATTGGGCCGGAACAGAGAGTAACTATATCATGATACGTAAAATAAACTGATACAAGAAAGTCTGTCATCTGTGAACAAGAGGTAACATGGGGATATTTCCAGTCACACAAACCTGGATTTGAGTTCAGGCACTGAGAAAGAAAGAAACAGCCCTTGACATCCAGGAACTAGCCTAGTACTTACAAGTAGACCTTGGCATTTTCCTGTTGAATGTAAAAATTTCACAAAACATCAACGGTGAACATGATCTGTGACCAGAAAGGATCAAGATAATCTGAATCCAGACAACACATGAGCATTGTCCAAACCGCAATAATAAAATAAAATTCCCTAAGATTGCTCATGTAGAGATTACAGTTTTCGGGTCAGTATATGTTCCCCTCCTAGAAAAAATTTTCAGCATATCCATTTATAGACAGCATCTAATCCAGATCAAAGCACCCATTTTCCTTAATCCCTCCTCCAAATCACCTAACACAAGCGTGGAGATGCCCCGTTGTTCTTTGAGGTTTGCACACTGCCACAACAAGTGATCAACCAACCTGTTTAACATTCTGATTTATTTCTCTTCAAAAAGTTGTGAGGATACTGAGAATAGGTTTATCACAGAGTAAGCTTTCAATAAAGATTTTTACAAATTTCTGCTTGAGCTAGTACTTCCTCTGAAAAAAACCATCATTTTGAAAGATATTTTAAAAGGTCTGAAAAGATATTGAAACCATAAGCTCCAATTAGGTAAACACTGAAACTGAGTGTGGTGGTGCATATCTATAATCCTAGTACTCTGAGAGACTGAAGCAAGAGGAATGAAAATTCAAGCCCAGCCTGGGCAATTTAGTGACTTCATGAGACACTGTATGGGAGACTTGACAAGAGGAATGAATGATTAAAGTCATGAAGGGGTCTTTGGGGGTAAAAGCATACAGGCTCTGAATGGAGTGAATGGTTAAACTGTGAAGGGATCTGTGGGGCAAAAGCACATGGGTCTGTATATAGTGTACTGAGCACAGCATAGTTGGAAAGCAACAAGAAGTTTAGTGAAGCATGTTGTATCTGGCTATTGTCCTTCCCCTCACCCTGATACAGCTTGATGCATCCTTTACCCAAGCTGTTTTTCTTCTTTCACTGACATTCTAAATAAAAGCCAAAGAGTTCTCAGCTCAGGACTGCTCCCTTGAAACTCTTTCACACTGGGTGCTCTCAGGCAGTCCCTCTGGGCCTCTTGGTTTTTGGACCAAGTTTCATCTCTGAGTAATGTTTTCATCCTCTGTGCCACCATAGTCATAACACTGCAACAACCTTGTCAAAAGAAAAAAAAAAAGATAAAAAGGCCTGGGGATGTAGGTCATTGTGAAGACTCTGGGTTCAATCCCAAGTACTGCAATTGAGGCAGGAGATCAGGGTATGGCAAAGAGGCTGGGCAATTGAGCCTGACCTGTCAAACAGAGACCTGTTAATCACAGAGAGACAGGGCATGTGGAGAACAAGCTTCTGAGTCCTGCACCTGATGGCAATCAGGGAATGTCGTTTTCAATTTTTCTGGCACACAGTTCAAACTGAGCACTGAAACTGATACCAATCTTTGTTTGGCATGAGATTGAGCAGGTTTTAGAGAGAATGGCTTAGATATGTTAGAGCAGGGGATATAAAAGATGGTGACCTTTATATTTGCAGTTGCTATGAGCCTTTTTACCAGCCTACCCTGCACTCTGTAAGCTGTACTTCTTTTCCTACTTTAACTGGCCCACACTTACTCTGCAGAGCACTTCTTTTGCCCTAAATAAATGTTAAGCTTTCTAATTCATCAATTGTTCTGTCCAAGTCTTTAAATGGGACAGTAAGAGCCTGGAAATATGATTACAATATGTGTCTGGCAAGCCAGCTTGGAGGCAACAAATTGAGCCAGGAAGAGGTAAAGCTTTTGGACACAGTTTTGTTTCTCTCTTAAGTCTATGAACTCAACCAAAGAAGAACTGGTTTAGTTATTCTCTTTTTCTCTCTCTCCCTTAGGAAGGCCCCAATCCCCTCCCAATATTCTTCTTGTCCTTTCTCTCCCAGGACAGGTTTTCTGGTTGTTGAGAGAGTCACAGAGCTAGAGGGTGGTAAATAAAAAGTTAGTGGAAGCTGGGGATCCCTGTTCCCACCAGCAGTCATGAGAGCAGAGCTCACAGGGCATGGAGTGAGGAGCCTATAGTGTTTTAAACCCATAAGGCTATGGCCCTGTTCAGGCTTGACTTCTGTGCAAGTGTCCTCTGACAGGGTGGAGACAGGATGGTCTGTGAGTGGCATGAGGGTCCAGCCAAATGACCAAGTGGGGCAAGACCCTTGAAGAGAGGGTGGGAGTCATGGTCAGTATTCCCATTTCCCTTTGGGGAATGGATGCGGTGAGCCTCAGGTGGTAGCCAAAGCACCCTCTACTCTGCCAGTCCCAGAGCCATAGCTGCTGTACATGGAGGAAATTTAATCCCTTGAGCATCTCCTGTTTAAAATAGATGCAATACAAAAACTATAGACTC